TATTATCCGGTACCTTTTGCATTAAACAAAGCTAAAATGAGCAGACAGACATGTGTATCAAAGCAGTTTTCCACAGTTTGTCATTGTGATGCATGCTCACCATGTTTGGTACAAGCCCCTAGCAAGTTTACGATGTTGAGGTGAGGACCCAGATGACTCATGATCTTTAATTCTGACATTAGGGCCTGAGTTTCACTCCTTCTGGCTGTAGCTGGATGTCAGAAGATGGAAAAAGAAGGGAAGAAAAAGCTGGAAAAATTAGATGCATAAACTTAGGGTAGTTGGAAATAGATACCCTGAGAGCAGGACACACTGTGCCTTTGCCAAACTGCTCAATGACCTGTGAGCTATGACTTGAATCAGGCTGGCAAGCAAACTAAAGCTCAGCAGGCTGCTGCTCTCTATGAGCCCAAAGGAATATGGCACTGGTGTCACAACATCTGACAGCTATGCGGGGGTTCATATAAGATAAGATAGAACTTTATTAATCCCTCGGGTGGGTTCCTCTGGGAAATTCGACAATATACTGTTCACACAAATTACGCACATGGCTTTCTGCTTTGTTTTTATATTGTAGGGCTTACATTTCAGCATTTTCACTGCCACCTTTGTGCTGGACTGCGAATGTGTGAGACCATACGCAGTTGCCTCGACCACCCTGCCAAACGCTCCTGATCCAAGAGTGCGACCTGAAACACAAAGAGGAGCTCAGAAGGACAGAGTCTGAATGGGGCCCACATTGGACCTGCAAAAGTAACGGAGACCATTTTTAACTAAAATATTGGTGTCAGCAAATGTATGTTATTTTCTGAAGAAGGGAAGATTATTGCAGATAAATAGTATTTATTAAGAGCATATGATGTTTTTCTCGATGTTGAGATGTGTCCTGTTTGTAGGTGAGCAGCTGACTATGAACATGTCAGTCATTAGACATGAAGGTTTAAAAGCTCTCTGTGAATAGGGCTTTAAAAATGAAGTGCCACTGGAGCTGATAAGAGACGTTTAACAAGGTTTGTTTAGTATTCCAGTGTCGACTGTGCCCAGACAACACAAACCACCCACAGCACTAGAGCTACCGGGCAAAAGCTCCAGTTTAAAATGTCTGGAAGCAAATGCATCTATTAAGACAAATAAAAAGTGACAAGCTGAAAATTTAGCTGCAGCTAACAACGAATTAGTGTCCTCAGTTGACTAGGCTAATTTTAATGCCTAAGATAATAAATATTTGTTCAATCCTCAGTGTGTTGATGCTTTAATAGATTTAAAACTCTGTTTTTTGAACCACATAATTTTTTTCATATTTTTTTAACCACACATAATATTTTACCATTTATGGAAAACCTCTATTAAAAAGATTTAATGTAGTGGGAGAAAATTACAAAGACATTTTCTGTTCTGTTTCTTTTTTTCTCTTTTTTTTTTTTATATTATTTTTTAATAGTTTAATCTAATTTAATTTGGTTATGCCATTTAAATTTGTTATTATGCTTCACAACATAAAAATATGATTCATATTTTTATGTTGTTGTTGCCTTTGTTTTCAGCATCATTTGTAACACTGCAATTTCTGATCTTCATTAAGTTGGGTTTCCCTAATTTGCATGAACGGGAGCAGATTTAAGTTAAACTGCACACATGCAAGATATTAGGATTTCCATCAGGACTAGTTTTTTTTAGCTGAGCTTAGCTCATCATCTCTCTTAACTGAGGACTCACCCAGCACTAGATGGTCACGGCGCATTTCCCAGGCCAGGTCATAGGGCAGGTGGATGGGGTCCACGTAGATATACTCATGCCCATCCTGGCTCACAGATTCTATCACCTTCCATCTGATCTCATAGCGAGGTTTCTGAGAACAAACAGTATTGCTTTTGAAGAAAGGAAAATTGAAAAATGGAAACTAAAAAATGTTTGAGTTTCTCTTACCTTCCTCCAGATTGCAATGAGGATGATGAAAGACATGATAACAATGACCACTAAGGCTAAAACAGCAGCCAACACTGCCACCTGGGAGAAAAGGGCTGCAATAGGCAAGAGTACACAGAACATTAAACACAATATAAATAACATGAATCTCCACATGCTGGAAATTAATTTATAAGTATAAATGAAGCTATGTTTTGTCTAAGACATACAGTCTACTAAAGGATACAAAGTTTGCTTTGTGTCTCTATAAACTTATCAGACTTTCCTATAGTGTTTGTGCAGTTTAAGCCAAATACAATTTAATTTAATCCTATATTATTATTTACCCATTTAATAGTAAAGTGGCATAGTCTATATTTGTATAATAAAAAAATGACAAACTTAAAGTATAATGTTCTATAATATCCTTCATCTATCCTAATATATATATATATATATATAGATAAATAATCCCATGACACCTACAGCTGAATACCAGTTTGATGTCCCGCCTGCTGATGAGCCCCTCTTGATTGCTGGTCTCACACCGAACTGCGGCCTGCTGAGGTGTCTGGAAGGTCAGCTGGCTGCGAACCTGACTGACCTTTCTTGTCTCATTGTAGCTCACGTTCGTATGGATGCTCAGCACCTCTGGCTCTGGTGTCAGCGGCTTCCACACCTCTGTCTGGTTGCTACACCTGCAGAAGAACATTAGATCGGAGGGTGAAATATTTCCAGTCAAATACAGACGCACTGAAAGCAAAGCGTGTTTTGGTCAGCCACCTAGTGTTCCTTCTGTGACAGTTCAATGGAGAAATGGGTGGTAGGGACTCACTTGAGCATGCTGCCACAGCTGTACCATTGTATGGTTGGGGCTGGCACCCCTTCTGCAACACAGGTCACCAAGTGTTTTTTCCCTGGGAGACTGTGGTCGGTCAGGTCTTTAATCTGAGCGGGAACTAAACACAGGGTGGCAGCAGCCATTAATCATTGCTGACTCAGAGAAAAACACAATCTGTCCTCAGCTTTTTTCCATTCACAAACACCACTTTCAGACAGTCGGTCAAAAAATATAAAACACCACACAAAACCCCACAGCACACAAAACACGTGGGAACATTTCAGCTTAAAAAAAAGGCTCACCTTGGACCTCCAGGTCAAAGGTCATTTCCTTTGAGTCATCTCCATTGGTAACAAGGACAGTGTAGAGGCCCTTCTGGTCTGTCCTCACCCTCACCAAGGTGAGGACACTGACATACCTGAGGTACAAAAAATTCATTTTTAAAAAATAAAATATACACTTTTTCTTCCAGTACTGAAAATGTTGACTATTTGTCTGGAGAAATCAAAGCTGACTGGCAAAAAGTTACAAATTTAATCAGACCTACTTTAATAAGAGACACAACACTCTTAAACCAAAAAGCAGCAACACTGTTTAAAATGTAAATAAAAACAAAATGCAATGATCCATGTGTAAAATCATTTTTTTTATTTTACTGTTATGTAAAAATATTGTAAATTTAAATATTAATTATGTTTTTCATGTTCTGTTGTGAAAAAATGTGGTTATATAAAATTTCTAAATCAGTGAATTCTGTTTGCATTTACATTTCATACAGTGTTCCAGCTTTTGTGGAAATGGGGCTGAACACTAAATGAACTGTTCTTTAGATATGAGAGCAAACTCATTTCTAAAGTCTTCAAGAGACTTTGTAAGATATGAAAATATTAAGAAGCACCCCGGGTTAAAATTTTAAACAACACAAAAGAAGATATAAAGTTTATGATGTACCTCATTATCAGGGGACATGACAGTTTTGTCTCATGTGTTGTACATAGCTGTCAGCATGGAGGTGGTGACTTTTTCTCTCTATTTGTGAACTACTAGAAAAAAAACATCTTGATGTTTCTCTTTCTTATTTATTACGGCCGGAGACTTCATGGAACTCGTTAACATGGGTTGTTTCTTTCTAGCTACCTATCATCATCCCTGTGGTTGATATCTCACTTAGATATTTAATGTGTGTTGGCAGGAATGTGAAAACATAGCCTTCAAATTTAAGCTTTATTTGACATCCGTTTGAAAGACACAACTCAGTAAGTTGTGACAAGCATTTGGTGTTTATGGTTCCTGTGTGATGAACGATGGCGTCCAGCCCTCCAGAGGGTATCGTGTTTCTCTCTGTGGAGACCCTTATCTGGCGATGACTGACAGGAGCAGACTGACCTGTGGAGGCTGTCGCCCTATCATAGGTCCTGTGCTAATTGTTTAAATGTATCAAGGCCGTAGACGTGTTTGGGTGCTTTGTGGTGTGCGTGAAACTAAATACTGGTTGGATGTTCTACCTTATTTCATGCTCTTGTCTCGTGTTGATGATTTTGTCTCCCTTGATGGTGGCGCCATCCTTGGTCCAGTAAACCTGTGGGGGAGGGTACGCCTCCATCGCCACTCTCAGCTCCACGTTCTCTTGTAGCTTGACGGAAATGTTTCGTTGCTGAGGCGGTTTGATGTCCACAAAGCCGTTTTCTAACAAGAAAAAGAGCAAAGTATATATGCAATGCACTAAATGTAGTAAATTATTTTTCTCTTTAGCTTAACTACAGTACTGTGAAAAAGTCTGTTGCCAAAGCTCATTTTTTTACATTTTCCTAGGAAAATAGAAAACACATGTAGTGACTTATTGATGCACGTGCAAACATTCCAAGAGGTACAGCAAGTATTCTTCAGGAATAGTTCTCTCAGACTACTTAATGAACATTCAAGGTTCTTCTTTAGATGTTGGCGCTTTTTGTTTCATGACAGAGTATCAGCTGTATTCTACAGATGGCTGTAGACTCTCACTGCTTAAGTCCCGTTGCCACTGATTTTCAGTCCAGTTTGTGTGTAATTTGGCATACTTGAGTCTTTTCCTTATTTCCTTTCCTAAAGAATGGCTTCTACCACTGAGACCATTATGATGAGGCATCAGAGAACAATAGATGGATCAAATAAAGGCAAAGATGCATCTCTCAGATCCTGCTTCAGGTCTTTGTTGGATTGTTTTCCTATTTCTTAAAGACATAACTTTCAGGTCCTGTTTGTAACCCACATAAAATGGGGGTACCACTTTAAGGACTGATATGAGGAGAGATGGACAGCCTGCCCAACCAATCGAAATGCACAGGTCCCAGTATGTTTTGACCAATGGGAGAGCAGTCTGCCGCTGTATGTCCCACCTACGTGCTCTGTGTTTGCTGCTATGTGTGGAGGTAGTCGCGTGCTGGCAGGAGAAAAGAGAGACTGAAGCTTTTGAGCTGGAAAAAAAGTATTAGATATAAGTTGCAACCAACTGTGTTGCACATAAGTTCACTGGTTATCAGCTACCTTTCATGTTAAAAGTAGCCACAGTGAGTAAGCAGGCAAATGCTGCATTTTTCTGGTGACTTTAAAAAGTACCGCGTGGAGCTAAACTGTTAGCCTTTGTTAGCTCTGGTTGCTATCAACTGCCTGGAAGTTCATCTCAATCTGCTTCCAGAAGTAAGGTAACACTTGAAGCGCAACTTATGTTTATTTTTCCTTCATGTCGTATTACGGTTATTAAAGAGAAAACATGTCCTGTTACGTTATTTAGAGCCCTGCATTTTCCGACCGAGAGACACTATGCCATTGTCTTCGGCCGTGATGCGCTGAGATCGGTGATTGTATGTCTCAGTTAGTTCATGTCTGTTTCACATTTTATCGTTGAGAAACTGAATTAATCTCAATTGTTTGATTAATAATTGTCGCATATGCGACATATATGCATATGCACTGACTTTACTTGGTTTAATGCATAGTTTGTGTAAGAGAGATGTTTTATTTTTGCAAAATTGAGTATTTTTATTGCAAATTTATGTTGAATGTGATTTAAACAAAATCCTAAGTTGTGAATTATAGCTAGAACAGCATAATTAATATTTGAATTGCTCTTCTGATCCTGTCTGTTGACAGGTCAGGTTTTTTTGTATGCTGAATTGTTCCTGAGGTGGATTCCTCCAGTGAAATAGATGGCGAGCCTTCCCACCTGGACTTAGAGAGACTGAGATTCGCTTCTTTTCCACTTGATGATCTGCTGCACCTTGCGGTGTGGTAGGACTGTATCACTCACACTTTCACGCACAGCTGGTTATACATAAGACCACTGACTGACATTCTCTCATCCCTATTTTCTTTCACACCCTGGGAATTTTTTGGACTTTACCCCTTGGACATTTTTTATTTGGGACTTTAAATAATGAGCTGTTGTGTAGAGCATTCTCCACATGTGAAAAGAATGTGAAATTTTCATTTGAATGTACATTGGAATTGTGTAATCTGTTTCTATAAGAGTTAAGGAGTCAGGTTACTAGGGTGCACCCGAGCATTGAAACCCGAACATTGAAAACCAAAAATAACACTTGGCCAAGTCATTGCTTTAGTAGTTTGTGTTTTACTTTTCTTTTCATTTTTGTAAGTTTCCTTTCTACCATTGTAAAGTGTCTTTAACCTGTGCTTGTCAACCTTATGGTTTATGTCACTAAAGTTGGACGGTTCTTTTGAGTTACATTCTTGTCTCTGTGTCTCATTTGAACACACCCCTGTGCTCCTATAGTCGAGCCTATTGGCCCATTGATATATTCTTTTCAACAATTCCCCTTACTGTGTTACATGTTCATCTGCTCTAGGTTATTTTTTAGGCCTGTGACTTCTCTTTTATTCTTCTCTTATTCAGATTTCCTCAATTTTTTTAAGGACATGCTGCACATCCTGCTTAGGTATTCCCAGTTTTTGGCTAAAGCCTCTTTGGGAATCACCTTGTCAGTGCAAAAATACTATTTTATGTCTGTCAAACTGTCTTATCTTTGGAATTTTTCATAGCTTTAACCAGAAAACAACAACAACAACAACAATAACAACAACAACAACAACAGGATGATGCTTCAAAATACAATTTAAAATTGGACAGAAAATGAGTTGGAAAAGCAGCCAGTATCAAAATCTTAATTATCTTAATTTTCATCTTAAGGAAGCCTGGAAAACTATTACTCAAGACCACTTTAAAAGAAATTCAAAGCAAGTCTGTCTCCTAGGAAGCAAAATATAAAGAAATAAGAGGTGGCACAAGACTTTTGCAGAATACCTACTCTCCACTCCACTGATATTTTTGCAACCAAAGATTTTGTCCAGGAGAGCAGTGAGACTGAACCAAAACCAAAACTCTGCAGGCCAGAGAATAAAAAGAAAAATCCTAAAAGATACTTTCTAGTTTCACATAGCTGGGCACTACTTTCCCCTGTTTCTATTCAGACTGCTTTTCTTGGTCTAAGGCTTTTTGATGTGACCATTTCTCTGTACAAAACCATTTATTAAGCTGCTTCTGTACTGCTGCTCTACATTCTTGAACCTCTGTGGTCAGACACTATGCATCTTTTCCACTGAGATGTCCAGTGTCCACCATTAAACTGTCCTGGCCTCCTGTCTCTACTAAACATGGAGCTTCAAGCTTGTATAAATATAACACACCTCAGTGCAGGTGGAATAAGCATTAACTGACCTATACGGCATGCAGTGACGGTCAGGAGACAGAGCATTAAGAGTACATATGATGAATCCCGCTTACCTTAGCAGCTAAGATGCTGACTTTCTGTATGTTAACATTTGAAGTCAAACCCCAGTTACATAAACACTGAGTCTAAATATAAAGTTGCTGTACCCACTGATTTACAGCTCTGTTTCTCAATGTATCACTCGAGGGATCCACACCGTGTCAAAAGTTTATTTCACACTTTGAAGAAAAACAAATAGAAGTGATCTTCATTTCCTTTAAAAGTAACTCCTCTCCCACCGTAACATCCAGAGGTTGACATAATAAGCAGTCTTTCCTATGTCAGCAAAAGGTAATAATAATCTGCACAGCATCAGTTTGTTTTACTTTTGTGTCTATGTGTGTGTGTGGGAGGAAGGTGGGAGAAAGGTTGGGGGTGTGCAAGGGGGGTTTTATCTTACCAAGCACAGTGATGTTGACGCTGGCAGAGGCTCTCTGGTCTTGTATGCCCTCATGGACGTGGCAGACATATTTTCCACTGTGGTCCATCGTGGCCTGGGAGAAGACCAGGCAGGAGCGCATGCTCGTGGGGGACAGGACATCAGTCAGTGGCTCATAGAAGTCAAGCTTAGAGACAAGTACAAGAATAAGATGTGATGTTTTAATATGAATTTATTGAAATCGGACTTTCAGTGAGCTCTTATTTTTGCAGTCAGACTTATTAGGAAAAGCTGTGAGTTTGTTTTAAAACATGTTCTAATAAAGCCATAAAAATAAAACTTCATCATCAAAGATAAAACGGAAACATTTCAGCTTCGCTGTTATCCAAACAAGGACCTACAGAGACCCAGTTATTACAATACCAGCCTAATGTGAGCTGTGAGTAAAGTTTCACAGCAGAATAAAAACTATGAGGTGTGTCTCCACATCTTGATATAATTTGGGCTTGGTCCAGAGGCCTTAGAGTGATCACAAAGGGAAAACGGAACAATAGCGCTTGTTCTGCTCCACTCCTACTCACCCCTCTATTGGGAATATCCCAAGAAAAATTCACCAGCTCCACTCCGTGCACTGTGCAGTTTACTGTCAGTGGTTCACCCTGCTTCAGGACCGTCTTCGAGGCATTGATGTAGGCGTCAATGGCCTCTGGGACTGGGACGAGAAGAGAAAACACAAGGGAGAAGTGAAAAGGGTGTGGTAATGTAATGTAACTAAACAATAATGTCTGCACTAAGGCTGATCAAGTTATTAAGTTGGAAAGAACTACTTCTAAAACAAGCTCTTCAACCTGAACACCTACCCACAATGCTGAAGACATAGAAAGCCTGAGACTCTCGCACTTCCTCGTTCAGCTTTCCCCGACACACATAATTCCTGTCCTCCACCGGCGCCTTGTAGCCCTCACTAGGAACATACACCCCACTTACGGGTATGTCAGTGTCCCTCTCGTGCAAGGTGACAGTGATTTTTGGATTGGTGACCACACAGGGGATGGTGCTTTCTTCACTGGTCTTTGTTACCATGCCGTGAGAGCTCTCTATGAACCACACGTCAGGATCTGCAGACAGACACATTTTTTATGACAAAAAATATTTTTCTATTGATTTACTGCGTCTTCCTCAAAGAACTTCCTGGAGGTTTTTCACCTTACTCTTCTTCAGAGCGCTTTCAAAATCACAGTGTTTTCAGAAGCTCTTTATTTACATGCAGCATGGAACTTAGACAGTTTTTGTTCAATTGTACTGTACAGTTAGCTTTGCAAACTCTGAATCAGGAAGGTAAACCAAAGGTAAGCAAACCAGGCCCCACCTGGGACAAACACGGCCACCTCCTCTGTGTCTCGCGTGCGCTGATCAATGCACTGATACACGCCTGTGTGCTTCCAGCTCACATTGAACAACGTCAGAACGCTGGATGTGGCTCCGCTTTGCACGATCTCGTAACTCTGGTGACCCGGTTTAGATGGTTCCAGCTGAAAGTACGGCACGTCGTCCATCTTAAACTTCCACGTGGTCTCCCCTGAGCCGCTGCAGGTAAGGGTAAGAGAGGAGCCCTCGGCCAGAACAAACTCTTTGTCACCGGGCGTGATCTCCAGGCAGCGCAGCTCAGTGCAGAAACACAGCAGAGCTGCAGTTTGCACAGCAAGACAAAAAAAGGTCAGGATGGAGGTCACAGAGACTGCAGCAGGAGGTGAAAGGTTAAATCAACAGTGTTAGTCCTGCGCTATCTTTAAATGATGAAGGATGTGAGTTGTCTGCAGCAATTTAGTGGGAGGGCGACGACGCCTTGTCACTGATAAATACATTTAAATTGAAAGAGGTGAGTGAATGCATCAGTTGTGTTGTGAAATCCCACAGCTAATGAATCACAGAAGAAGTCGCTGTATTCTTTAAACATTCTGAACAGAATGACTTCATACTTACTTAATAAAACCTGAAACATGCTGTCCCCATAATCCTGACCACATGTTTCGCAAATTTAATAAGATATAAGTTATAACCCATTGAATTATATCCATTTTTTATATTAAATTGTTATATTAGATATCCAAATCATATTAAGTGTGATTTGTTATAAAAGAGTCCCAGTCTTGCAGTATCTATTTCCCCTAATTGTAAAATACTCCATCCAAACTTAGCTTCAAGCTTCTTGCTTCCCTGCAAATGACTTTTGCTTCTTCTTACACAGTTTCACTTTTTGTTGCTGAAGTAAAATTTAGGCCTCACCTGTAAATGTGACTGTTAGGTGGAGCGGGGATGCTGTCACCTTCCTCATCACGGAGGCCTTCAAGTCACTTTGTTCTGCAAAAAGAAAAACAAACAAACAACAAGAGTGATCCTTTTCAGAAGTATTTTGCCTCAACAGTTAAGTGAAAATGAACACAACAGCAAAATTCTGTTTTCTATTTAAATCAATGAAGACAAATCTTGAACAGACTTAATATCTGTCCATGTGAGGATGAGCTTCATATCATGATGGATTGGTTTCTGCTCTCGCAGGCTCCACAAAGTCAGGTTAAGTGAGAAAATAAATCGTGTGTGTCAGAACAAACGGCGTCAAATGAAAGAGAATGATACCAAACTATGCATTTCTCCCACTAAATAGAAACAAAAAGTATTGAGTTTGTTATCAGGCTGCTTTCTTTAATAGCGACTGGCCCTCACAGAGAAACTGAGGTACCGATGCAACTCATCAGGTATTTGATGCCTCGCTGCACCAGGACAGAGCAACAATGTCTGGCTCTTTTTGTTCCCGGTTCACCAGCATTCTGCCCGCTAACAAACGGGTCACTGTGTTCGGCTTTGCAACGCGCTCGCTGGCAACAATGCTGCGTCCGAGCTATTCCACAGCCATGCTGAGCCATTAATTGGTTTTGCTAAAAACAAAAGTAAAAATGAGGGCAGTCACAAAAGCTGCTGACAAAGCAACCTTTGAAAGGTTGCTATGGTTTGGCATTACTAATAGGGTATCGAGTTGTACAGCAAAGCAATGTCAGCATCAATGGATTCAGCACTTGGGGGGGTCAAAGTTGACCCATGCTTACCATCATCGAAACTGTTATCAAAGACCTTGAAGTTCTAATTGTACAGCACAGTGAGAGGCCAAAGGAAAGTGGGGAGAGGTGGTTTGCTGTTATGTTTAGGATAGGGGTTAAGGCCTGCAGCACAGAGGCGTCTGGAAACAGTTAAGGATGGATCACAGGCCTATACGAGGGTGGGAAAAAGAGAGGGCGGAAGACTGATTCTTGGGAAGAGCGAGGGTGGAGAAGGAAGAGAGGGAGTGAGCCAATGGAAAAATTGTGAAATGTATCTCTAGAAATCGCTCCCCAATTTAACATTTTTATAAGATAATGTACACCAATTGCACCACCTCTATTTTAAGAAACTGGGCCATTTTCCTGCATTACATAATAGAACACATGTTTTGAAGATTACATCTCTCCATCTAATCACGAACAAAAAGGCTTCACGCTTCATTCATCAACTAAATATCTTTGGCAAGACCTCCTTTGCTGTATC